TTCTGTAATGAGTCCCATTTCTCTGGAACGTCTGATTACTTCTACTCAGAATTATCATTATGGGAATAACCATCCAAGAGCAACCATCTAATATCAGTTCTCTTCTAGACTATCAAAGACTCACCAAAATCAAACTCTTCCTTCCTCCAATCTGAAAATAACATGAGAATATTATATTACAGATAAAGCTACAGGTCTACATATTAAAATAATTATTTAAAAAAGTTAATGAAGATAATATTATTTTATATACTTAGAATTTCAATATCTGACCTACCATGCTTTACTCACTTAATGTTCCCACAGGAGTAGTTTCTATCATTTATTTAGAATGTTGTAAAGTAAATATGGGAAGTGGATTGTCTGACCAAGTACATTATTTTTGTTATAGTTCCCTTAAGTTTTAGAGCACACTTTTCCTACCTTTGAAATATGTTATGAGAAACAAATAAAATGCCTCAAACTCTTCATTTGGATTAATATATATTAAGAAACACATATTGAATTTGTGGAATGTGTGTTTCTTAGTTTTATTAACTTTTAGATTAAATGTTATGTGTATAGCAGATGGGCTGGAGTGATAGCACAACGGTACGGCATTTGCCTTGCATGCAGCCAGCCTGGCTGAGCAAGGTTCGATTCCTCTGCCCCTCTCATAGAGCCCGGCAAGCTACCGAGAGTATCTCGCCCGCATGGCAAAGCCTGGCAAGCTACCCATGACGGACTCTATATGCCAAATACAGTAATAACAAGTCTTAAAATGAAGACATTACTGGACCCGCTTGAGCAAATTGATGAACAACGGGAGGACAGTGTTTGTTTGTTTGTATAGTAGATATTAATTTAAAATACCTAATACTAAAATAAAATAAATATCTTAGAAAACAGCGATTTCTTCAATAGAGTTTACATCACTCACCAGCATACAATGGTGCATTCTTCCAAACTGCAAAAACAAAATAATCCGTTATTTTTTAGTTTTTGCATTTTTTCATTATTTCCATTTTCTCTGTATTTATATGTTCCCCCTTCATTTTACTTTTTTAAAGCACCGTGATTTACAAGGTTATACATAGTTGGGTTTTAGACATACAATGTTTCATCATCAATCCCACCACCGGGTTTATCTTCCCTCCAAAGTGTTCCCAAGTTTCCTCTGTCACCCCAGGCTGCCATTTCAACTAACACATTTCTAAGTTTGTTTACTTAATTTTTAGTCTAATGATTCTAGTGTTGTTGATTTCGTGGTTTGAATATTTAGCTCTATAATTCATTACCGATACTGGTGTACACTCTATCCCTTGTGCTTCTCATCTATCTCTTCATTTCCCACTCCCATTATCTTTCCTTTTCCTCCCTATATTCTGGCGCCAAGCCTGATCACCCCTTTAAACTATTGTATTTCCTCTCCCAGTTATTCAAAAATATCACATCTAAGTGGTATCATTTTGTGTTTATCTTTCTTCTTTCGGCTTACTTTAACATTTAACATTATATCTTTCAGATAGATCCATGTTGCAGCAAATTACATGATTTCATAATTCCTTATTTCTGCGTTGTGTATAAGCAACATATTTTTATGATCCATTGATATATTGTCAGACATCTGGGTACATTAGGAATCTTAGCTGTTTTTCTAAGTGCTGCAATGAATATGGTGTCCATATATCATTTTGAATGAATGTTTTTCTCTTCTGGGGGCAAATGCCTAAAAGTAAAAGTGTAGGGTTATATGGCAGCTCAAAGGAGTTGAATCAAACATTTCCACCAGCAGTAGATGAAAGCTCTTTTTTTATCACAGCCCCCTCAAACACAGATTCTTCCCATTATATTTTTTATATAAGCCATTCTCCCTGCTATGAGATAGTATCCCATTGCCTTGATTTGGATTTCCCTAATAATAAGTGATGATGAGCATTTTTTCACATGCCTGTAAGCGGTCTGTTGGTCATGCTCAGAGAAGTCCTGGTTCATTTTCTCTGCCCATTTTTTTATTTTTTAAGAAAATTTTGGCTGCTGATCTCTGTGAGTAGTATATTATATATACAAATACATATATATGTATATAACTCCTGTATATCTACTCTTATCTGATGTGTTGTCTGGAAATATTTGCTTTCATTAAGTTATCTATCCTAGTTTCATTTTCTTTCATTCAGTTAGCTATCTTAGTTTTAGTCTATCTTTCTTGTCATGCAAAATCTCTTTAATTTGATGTAGTCCCATTTGTTTACTTCTCATTCTTTTACCTTTGCCAGTGGCATTCTTTCATTGAAGACACCTTTAAGGTCCAGATCTTGGAGCATTCAACTTATATTTTTCTTATATTTATTTTATAGATTCTAGTCTGGTCTTTGATACACTTTGAATTGACTTTTGTGTAAGTTGTGAGATAAGGATCCAGTTTGAAATTGTTTACCTGTAGTTATTCAGTTTTTCCAGAACCATTTGTTGAAGAGGATTTACTCCATTTTATGCTTTCAACTCCTTTTCAAATATTATCTGACCATATGTATGGGAGTTTTTCCTTGGATATTCTATTGTGATCCATTGGTCAGAGAGTCTGCCCTTATTTCAATGCAATTATATTTTGATCATTATGGCTTTATAAATACAGTTTCAAATTAGGTAATAAATTACCTCCTACATTCTTATTTTTCACTATGGTTTTAGTTTTTCAGGGTCATTTATGGGCTATCCTAATTCCTTGAATAACACCTGAATTTGAAAAGGAATTGCATTGAATCTATATGTAGTTTTGGTAGAATGATCATTTTGACAATATTGATACTTCTAACCCAAGATCATATAATTTTTGCATTTCAAGGTGATCATCTATTTCTTCCTTAATTGCTTTGAATCTTTTAAGTTATAGATCTTCCATTTATTTGTTAAAATAGATCCTAGGTACTTTATTCTTTTAGACACTATTTTGAGTGGCTAGATCCCTTGATCTTATTGTTTGCATATTAGAATATGACCAATTTTGGTATATTGACTTTGTAGCCAGCCCCTTTGTTCTATTCGTTTATTGTTTCTAGAATTTTATTGTGGACTCTTTTGGGCCTTCATATATATGTATATGTATACATGTATATCAATATATAAATGTATAAATCATGTTATTTGCAAATACAGATCATTTTACTTCTTTTTATCATATTTTGACCCCTTTATTTACTTTTATTGCCTGATTGCTGTTGTTGGGGCTTCTTCTACAATGATAAATAAGAGAGGAGACTGAATATCCTTGTCTTTTACTTGATCTCAAAGGAAATGCCTTCAGTTATTCATCATTAAGAATAATATTTGCGAGTCCATCACCTAATTGGCCCCTCCTCTCCAGATGTGTATGGGGAGCCCAAGCTGGGGTCTGCTTCTCCCCCCCCAGCCCCGCCTTTTCCCGCTGAACCCCAGCGGGGAGAACACCCGCCGCAGCTCCAGCTCCATGGGACAATCCATCACTTAATCGGCCCCTCCTCTCCAGGTAGGTAGGGGGAGCCCAAGCCAGGAGCCGCTCCTCCCCACCAGCCCCGTGCCTTTTCCTGCTGAACCCCACAGCCCCCAGCGGGGGGACACCTGCCGCAGCTCCAGGTCCGTGGGACTTTCCACCGCCCCTCCTCCATTCCAAGATCCTGGATGGGAGTGACCCTGGGAAGGGCTAGGGGCATGGCCACTATAAAGGGGGAGTGGCCTCCCAAAAGTGGGCTTGGCCTTCTCCTGGGCGGGCACCCGCTTACACGGCTGCAGTTATATTTCCCACTCCGAGCACTCAAGACTTTCATCCTATACCTTGTCACCTAATACCGACCAAAAATTTCTGACTACCTGTACTACAATACAACAACATCCCACTCGCCTACTCCATTTCTAACAAAAGACCTGTTTGAAATGAGCTGTACAATCTCAGTACTATAAAGCTCCTCCTCCAAAGTTTCACTCAATGTCGGTTATAAAACAAAGAATAACAACTGATTGAGAAGAAGGTCAAACTCAGAAAGGTAGAAGGGTGGCTACCATCGACCAACCTTATCCAAAATCCTTTCCCATGATAAGAGGGAACAGTACCTGTGATTTCAGGGTTCTACCTCTAGGCAACCAAAACAACATGAAGAAACAGCGTGAATCTCCACTACAAGGAGAATACGAAGAGAAGAATCCCAAACCACAACTGAGGTTCTCCTTGTGCTCTCTTCGATAATTCCAGGATGAAATGCAGAGGGTGTTCAAGGATCTATTCAAAGAATCAATGGAAGAGATATGCAGAAAACTAAAAGAAGAAATGAAAGAAACAATAGAACAATAGTCGAGAAAATACAGGAAGAAATGAGAGCAGAAATAAAAAAGCTACAAAAAGACCCTCCCATTGTTCGTCGATTTGCTCGAGCGGGCCCAGTAACGTCTCCATTGGAGACTTTGTTGTTACTGTGTTTGGCATATTGAGTACATCACGGGGAGCTTGCCAGTCACTGCCGTGCAGGTGAAATACTCTCGGTAGCTTGACAGGCTCTCCGAGAGGGGCGGAGGAATCAAACTCGGGCTGGCCATGTTGGCTGTATGCAAGGCAAACGCCCTACCGCTGTGCTATAGCTCCAGCCCTTGTGGACAAAAAGAAGTGTCACAAATAAAGGATTCAGTAGATGAAATTAAAAAGTCAGTAAGTGCCCTTAGCAATAGGATAAGTGCAGCTGAAGAGAGGATCAGCGAGCTTGAAGATGAGCAACAGAAATCCCATAGGGAACAACAAGCAATAGGAAGTAAAGTAAATAAGTAAAGGCCCTCCCGTTGATCATCGATTTGCTCGAGCGGGCCCAGTAACGTCTCCATTGGAGACTTTGTTGTTACTGTGTCTGGCATATCCAATACGTCACGGGGAGCTTGCCAGGCTCTGCCGTGCAGGCGAGATACTCTCGGTAGCTTGCTGGGTTCTCCGAGAGGTGCAAAGGAATCGAACTCGGGTCGGCCATGTTGGCTGCGTGCAAGGCAAACGCCCTACCACTGTGCTATCACTTCAGCAGCACATATACTAAAATTGGAATGATACAGAGAAGATTAGAATGGCCCCTGCACAAGGATGACACGCAAGCAATAGGAAAAGACCTCCAAATGGCTCTAAGGAGAATCAGAGACCTAGGGGATGATGCCAAGAGGAACAACATTAGAATCATTGGAGTACCAGAAGGACAGGGAGACAACCCCAATTCAAAAGTTACAGTCAAAGAAATCATTGCTGAGAAGTTCCCAGAGTTAAGGAAGGCAGACATCCAGATCCAAGGAGCCAGGAGAGTACCAGCTAAAAGAGACCCAACAAAAAACACCCCAAAGCATATCATAGTCAGAACGATGAATTCTGTGGACAGAGACACAATATTACAAGCAGCAAGGTCAATGAAGGAAATTACATACAAAGGAGCACCCCTTAGATTCACAGCAGACCTATCAGAGGAAACCCTCCAAGCTCAAAGGCAATGGTAGGATATAGTGAAAAAACTTAATGAAATGAATGCATCACCAAGAATATGCTATCCAGCTAAACTCACTCAAATTTGATGGAATTATACACCACTTTGTAGATAAACAACAGCTCAGGAACTTCATAGACTCAAAACCAAATCTAAAAGAAGGACTAAACGGGCTCCTGTAAGATAAGGAAAACACTTTTAAACACAACCAACTCCTACAGAAAGATGTCACAAAACCCCATGACATTAATCTTCCTTAATGTCAATGGTCTAAATCCACCTACCAAGAGACACAGAGTGGCAAAATGGATCCAGAAACTGAAACCAACATTCTGCTGTCCACAAGAAACTCATCTGAACAATCAGAGCAAACACAGACTCACAGTTAAAGGATGGAAAACAGTCCTGCAAGCAAACAGCTCCCTAAAAAAAGCTGGAGTGGCCAACTAGTATCCGACAACATTAATTTTAGGCTGAAAAAGATTAGAAAGGACAGTGAAAATCATTTTCTCTTCATCAAGGGATACATACAACAGGAAGAAATCACAGTATTAACTCTATACGCACCTAATGAAGAAACAGCTAGATACTTAAAGCAACTGCTAACAGATTTTAAGGAGGACATTGATAGCAACACAATAGTAGTGGGAGACTTCAACATTGCCTTATCACCTCTGGATAGATCAGCAAGAACAAAACTCAGCAAGGAAACATTGGCTTTGAATGAAAAAATAAAAGAGAAAGGACTTATAGACCTATACAGGGCTTTATACCCCCAAAAGAAAGATAACAAATTCTTCTCCAGTGCACACGGAACATTTTCCAAAATAGACATGTGCTAGGACACAAACATATCTCAATAGAATCAGGAAGATAGAAATAGTATCAACAATCTTTTCAGACCACGATGCATTGAGAATAGTAGTGAATCACACACAGACATGTAGAACCAAATAAAACACCTGGAAACTAAACAACTCACTGCTGAACAATGGGTGGGTCAGGAAGAACTCAAGAATGAAATCAAAAGGTACCTAGAAACAAATGAGAATGAAGACACGAGCTACCAGAATTTATGTGATGCATCTAAAGCTGTATTAAGGGGAAAATTTATAGCCCTGCAAGCATATCTCAGGACGGAAGAAAGGATGCACATAAGCAACTTGACTTCACAGCTCAAAATCTTAGAAAAGGATCCACAGAATGAGCCCAAATCGGGCAGAAGGAGAAAGATCATAAAACTTAGAGCAGAAATCAACAGCATGGAAACCAAAGAAACAATCTGAAATATCAATGAAACCAAGAGCTGGTTTTTCGAGAAAATAAACAAGATAGATAAACTACTAGCAACACTAACAAAGAAACAGAGAACGAAAACCCTAATAAACAGATTCAGAAATAAGAATGGGGATATCACAACAGAAACCAAAGAAATTCAAAAGATCATCAGAGACTACTTTGAAAGTCTGTATGCCACAAAACAAGAGAATCTAGAAGAAATGTATAAATTCCTGGATTCCTATCATCTCCCAAAGCTGAGCCAAGAAGATATGAAATACCTGAATAGACCTATTAACATCAAGGGCATTGAAATTTTAATCAAAACTCTTCCCAAAAACAAAAGCCCGTGTCCAGATGGATTCACAAGCGAATTTTCCAAACATTTAAAGAGGACCTACTGCCAGTCCTTCTCAAGCTTTTCCAGGAAATAGAAAAAACAGAAACTCTTCCAAAGAGTTTCTATGAAGCCCGTATCTTTCTAATACCAAAAGGAAACAAAGACATCACCAAAAAAGGAAAACTACAGGCTGATATCCTTGATGAACACCGATGCGAAGATTCTCAACAAAATACTAGCAAATAGAATTCAACAATGCATCAAAAAGATCATACACCATGACCAAGGGGGATTCATCCTGGGGATGCAAGGATGGTTTAACATTTGGAAATCAATCAACATAATCCATCATATCAACAAAAGAAAATATAAAAATCGTATGATCATATCAATAGATACAGAGAAAGCATTTGACAAGATCCAGCACCCGTTTATGATGAAAACCTTTGCTAAAATGGGGATAGAGGGAACTTTCCTCAATATAGTTAAAGCCATCTACCACAAGCCTACAGCAAGCATCATCCTCAGTGGGGAAAAACTGAGAGCCTTCCCCCTAAGATCAGGGATGAGACAAGGATGCCCACTCTCTCCACTACTGTTCAATATAGTACTGGAAGTACTTGCAATAATGATTAGAGAAGAAAAAGATATTAAGGACATTCATGTAGGAAAGGAAGAAATCAAACTCTCACTATTCACAGATGATATGATACTATACCTAAAGAACCCTATAACCTCCACCAAGAAACTCCTAGAAACAAGAGACTTGTATAGTAAAGTTGCAGGCTACAAAATCAATACACAAAAGTCCATGGCTTTCCTATGCACAAATGGTGAGAGAGAAGGAAATGGCATGAAGAAAACAATCCCATTAGCAATTGTACACCAGTAAATCAACTACCTAGGAAATAGTTTATCTAAGGAAGTAAAGGACCTGTACAAAGAAAACTACAAAACACTCCTTCTCGAAATAAAAGAGGACGCGAGGAAATGGAAAAATATCCCCTGCTCATGGATCAGGATAATTAATATTGTCAAAATGGCAATACTTCCCGAAGCACTGTACAAATTCAATGCGATCCCTATAAGGATACCCATGACATTCTTCAAAGAAATGGAGCAAACACTCCTGAAATTTATATGGAACTATAAGACCCCTCGAATAGCTAAAGCAATTCTTGGGAAAAAGAAAATGGGAATAATTAACCTCCCAAACCTCAAACTCTACTACAAAGCAGTAATAATTAAAACAGCATGATACTGGAACAAAGGCAGAGCTGCAGACCTATGGAACAGGGTTGAATATACTGACATCTCCCTTCAAACATATGATCATTTAATCTTTGATAAAGGGGCAAGACATGCGAAGTGGAGTAAGGAAAGCCTTTTTAACAAATGGTGCTGGCAAAACTGGATGACTACATGCAAAAAACTGGGCTTAGATATCTGCCTAACACCATGTACAAAAGTAAGATCAAAATGGATCAAAGACCTCAACATCAGACCAGAATCCATAAGGTACATTGAAAACAAAGTTGGCAAAACCTTCCATGATATTGAAGCTAAAGGTATCTTCAAAGATGTCATGCCACTGGCCAAGCAAGTGAAAACAGAGATAGAAAAATGGGACTATCTTAAACTAAGAAGCTTCTGCACCTCAAAATAAACAGTGACCAAACTACAAAGACAGTCTACATAATGGGAAAGGATATTTGCCGAATACACATCTGACAAGGGGTTGATATCAAGGATATACAAAGTACTGGTTGAACTCCACAAGAAGAAAACATCCAACCCCATCAAAAAGTGGGGCAACAAAATGAACAGAGACTTTCTTGAAGAAGAAATTCGAATGACTAAAAGGCACATGAGAAAATGCTCTACATCATTAATCATCAGGGAGATGCAGATCAAAACAGCAATGAGATATCATCTCACACCACAAAGACTGGCCCACATTCAAAAGAACAAAAGCAACCTGTGTTGGCGTGGATGTTGCAAGAAAGGGACCCTCCTTCACTGTTGGTGGGAATGCAGGCCGGTCCAACCCTTTTGGAAAACAGTATGGACAACTCTCAAAAAATTAGAAATTGAGTTCCCATTTGACCCAGCAATACCACTCCTGGGAATATAGCCCAGAGAGGCCAAAAAGTATAGTAGAAGTCACATCTGCACTTGTTTGTTCATTGCAGCACTGTTTACAATAGCTAGAATATGGAAAAAACCTGAGTGCCCAAGAACAGATTACTGACTAAAGAAACTTTGGTCCATCTACACAATGGAGTACTATGTAGCAGTTAGAAAAAATGAAGTCATGAAATTTACATACAAGTGGTACTACATGGAAAACATTATGCTAAGCGAAATGAGTCAGAAAGAGAGGGACAGCATAGAAAGATTGCATTCATTTGGGTAAAATAAGGTAAAGGTAAAGGTAAAGGCCCTCCCGTTGTTCATCGATTTGCTCGGGTAAAATAAAGTAACAAAATAAGAGAGTAACACCTGAGAACAGCTGTGATAAATACCAGGTTGTTCACTCCATGGCTTAGAGGCCAGCCGCACACTCTAGGGGTAAAGACAGCTCAGATAGAAAAGGGAGCACCAAATAAAGGGTGCTGGGAAGATCTGCCCAGGATGGGAAATGCCTGCTGAAAGTAATCTATGGAACAAACATGATTGCCACCAAATGTCTCTTCTGCAGACCACATCCCCCAAAAGGAGAGATAGAACAAAAGGGAGTGCCCTGACACAGAGGCAGGCTGGGATGAGGGTTGGGGGGGGGTGTAAGGAATACTAGGATTGGTGGGGGTGGAGAATGGGCACTGGTGGTGGGATGGGTACTCAATCATTGCATAACTGAAACCCAAGCACAACAACTTGTAAGTCTACAACTATACTTCATGGTGTTTCACTAATAAAAAACAATATTTGCTCTGGGATTGTAGATAGCATTAACTACCATGAGAAGTTTTCTTCTACTACAATTTTGTTGAGGTCTTTTTTTCTTAATCATAAATGGATACATGATTT